AATTAAACATCGTATCGTAAGTATCGTCTAGCTGAAATCGTGCCTATTTTCTAAAGGCTTATATGCCGGTGAGGTATTCTATCTTTATTTTTTGCTGATTTTTATGCCCTCAGTTGGCGTACATTGATTTATCACTACTAGAAGAAAAGTGCTAATTTCTGGCAAAACGTTTAGAAAGTTATTTAATTTTTCACCCAGCGCAATAGTGTTAATCACCTCTATATGAAGATAATCTTTATATGATTTTCTACTCTTTAAAACGTCAACACGGTCGCGGTCTCTTTATTCCAAAGTCTACATACTTTGTCTAACAATTCTAATAAGTTGTATGTAGATTAACAAATACGAGGCTTTGCAAATGAATATCATCTCATTTTCCGCGGAGGTAATCTTGCAAAGACAAACCTCCACATTTCCGAATGATGGATCAATCACGAAGAGATCTATATCAACTCTTTCTGCTCATCAGAATGTTTCAGGCCCAGTTATCATTATAGGAGGCATTCTTTGAAGGCAATCGCAGCTCCGAAATTAGACAACATTTCGAAGAGAAGTAGGTTGTGCTAGAAAGTCTCGCGTCTACTTGCTATTTTCAAAGCCTTTCCTTGTAAAAAAATGTGAAAGATCTTCGTTGTGTTCAGTATAAATTAAGAGTGCTTTCAAAGCTCTTCACTAATCAATTGCATAAGAAGGACGCTTGGCTATATGAAATTGGTGGACACGTCGGACCTTGCAGGAGAGGTAGTTACATTAATCAATCAGATTATTTTAAGATTTATCAAAATTTGCGAAAGCTGCCTGTTTCTTGTCTTAACCTTTAATTTTGAAAGAGCGTTTCTTTAGAAACGAACGCTTTACCTTTAGCGCTTCACAAATGAAGGTAAACGCCTGGATATGATCTTCACAATTTTTCTTTGGAAATAGAAAAGGACTAACAGAAACAGTTTTGTTTAGGTTGTAAACGTTGGTCCGCTAGACTAGCACGGGAACTGTGTGTACTGATTGAGTGTGAGAGAAGGAGTTCGCTTGAATTAGAAATTAGTTAGAAGAAGATTCTGTTTATGAAGTTTTTGCAAGGATCAAAAAATCAGATTAGATGCTCTTTTGTCGTCTCGCCTAACATACTTTACGCACTCATGAACATGAAGATAATCTGAGGGAAGAACTGGAATGAAGGTGAAGATCAGTGTAGACCACCTGTGTGCCACCAATCTATGCACAAACCCGAAGCCCAAACC